GTGACACTCGTGCCATATGCAAAAGTATTATCAGAATCAGTGCTACTTAAAACAACGGTTGGCGTTTGAAGCGGGTTGACTGTGACGGTTAAATTTCTTGCTGTACTTGGCCCTGCTGAATTAACAGCCACCACAGAAATTGTACCTCCTGTAGAACCTGCAGTAACGGTGATAGAATTAGTAGTACTTGTCCCTATCCATCCTGAAGGTAAAGTCCATGAATAAGATGTTGCAGCCGGATCATTAACCACGCTATAAGTTTGGCTGGAATTAGCACAAACGATATCAGCACCTGTTAGTACACTTGGCTGGTTTGGAGCCGGTAAAGTGGTGGTAACAGTAATCGCGTTAGAATTAGATGAAGTAACAGCAGCACTTACTGCTTTAACTACGTAATGGTATTCTGTAGTAGGTTCTAAATTAGTTACCTGATAAGAAGTACCTGTAATACCTGTAAAAGGTGAACCTGGTATTGAAGAGTTAATAGAGGTATTTTGGTCACCTGTGATAGTTATGTCATCAATGGCACTATCACCAGTAGTATCACCAGATGCCAAATTAGCTCTAGTATTACTTGTCATTATCCATCTTAGGTAAACCAATGGTTTGTTTGCACAATCTTCCGGCAAAGTTATATTTGTTAATGAAATCCAGTTACTACCACCTGTCAACACAATATTTGCATTTGGCACATCTGTCCAAAAAGAATCATCTGTAGAATATTGAACTTTGAAGTCTCTTGGCCCTGCATTAGATGATCTTTGGCGTGAAGACAATTTAAGATTACTGAAACCCGTTGTTTCAAAGCTAACTTTCCAGAATGTAGAACCTGAACCACTTGACCAACCAGGACCTGTTGAACTTGCAGCCAGTCCACCTGGATTACTTCCCACATTGGAGAATGTTGGGGTAGTTGAATTAGTGGTCAGAATTTTGTTCAAATTATTAGAAACACCAGTATCTGCAGTCGCATTACTATCTGAAAAATTCCAACCAACAGCTGTTACGTTTGGAGTTAGAGAAGCTTGAGAAGTGTAAACATCAACATTATAACTCTGGGCACCTGCAACAGCATCCCAATGAGCCGTAAAACCATTGCTTGATACAGGGTTTGCTGCCTGAGCTACTGGAGCTGCCAATGAAGCTGTTCCGTTTAATGTTAACACGACATCC